TGGGGAGCCGTTGCACGATGCTCGTGGCTGCGGCGGCCGGGAGAGCTTCGCCTCCGGGGACGGCACCGAGCTTAAGGGGTGACGTGGGCTGTGAGACGCCGCGTACACAGCGAGTCGTGGGCTGCTCTTTCCTTGCGGAGGTCCAGCTGTGGCCCGTGTGCCCTCCCGGGGCGGGTTTGGATCCCGGTCCGTCGCTTCCGAGCGGAGGAGCAGGGTCCGGCGTGGGAGGCTGGAGGGCAGCCAGGGAGCCAGGCGGGAGCTGTGCTTTTAAAGGCCTTTCCCTTTGCTTTTGAAGGCTTTCCGGGTCAAAAGTACAGTTCTGATCTCTGCAACTAGTGCTCTCCCGAGTAAACACGCCGCTGCTGCTCCCAGCTGCCGGCATCCAGCTCGGCTCAGCTCCAGCAACATCCTTCCCTTGCGTGGGGTGGGAACCCACCCGGGCAGGGCTCTCTGCTCTCCTAAAACCTGCTGCTCCGCGTCATTTTGGGGAGGGGAGAGGAGACTTTCTCCATCAAGATTTGCTCCTCTCTGTCGCCTGCCTCTTAAAGCAGAGGATTTGCTGTCAGAGGGAGACCCAAGCATGCCCAGACACCCCGAAGCCACTCAGAAGAGCCTTCCTCCCTCTCCTCTCCCCCTTTCCGCCTCCGGCTCCTGCCGTGCTGCATTCCCAGGAACCATCCCAGAGCCCTTCCCGGGGCTCCCGGGGGACTCGAGGCTCTCCCATCCCTCCCGATGTGTCCTAACCGAACTCTTGAGAAAAGCAGTGGCGTTTTAAAGAGCTTCTTTAAGTGCACTTGCATAATGTCTAGGCACTTTTTGTTTGTTTGTTTGTTTTAATTACATGCAAAACCCCGAATCCCCAGGAAATAAATAGCACGCACAAAGGCCAGCTCGGGCAAGCAGCTGGCCTCTGCCGTGAGCTGCATGCAAAAGAGTCGTGCCTGCTCGCAGACCCTGCAGACACATATATAAGGGGCCGTCGGCGCGGGACGTACCTCCCGCAGCAAGGTCACCTCATACTCCTGCAACTGCTGCTGGAAGCCAAAGTCGGGGCTGACGTAGGACCGGACGGCCTTGGTGGCGGCCAGGCAGCCCTCCCAGCCCAGCTCGGTCACCGTCACGAGGTAAGCCGCCAGGACGGTGGTGCTGCGGGAGACCCCGGCCAGGCTGGCACGGCGCGAGGGAACAGCCTCAGGGAGAGGTACGCCCACCACGGAGGCTGGTACGGCTCTCCAGCAAGGGAAACCCAAGGGATGCACGTTCCGGTGGGAACCCCCTCTCGCTGGGGTGCTAGCAGGGGTCCCCAGCCATGGGTTGGGTGGGGGTAAGGAGCCACGTGGACAGGGAGCCACTGCTGGTGGCCCCGGGCAGGTGGCTTCCCCCTGTCCCCTCCTCTAGCCTGTCCCACCTCTTTGGACACTCAGGTCTTCAGTGCACAGACCACCCATCCCCACGGGTCTCGGCCGTGGGGACCTTCCCCTGTTGCCCTCCCGCTCTAAAAAAATCTTCCTTCTCTTCTCCTCTTCCTCCTCCCCACCACAAGTGACGTTTGACGTCAAGGACGTTTTTTGGGAGCCCATCCCCACCTCCCAGAGGACGGATGCGAAGCGGGGACGCGAGGCGGTGACAGCAGCTCTCACCAGTGGACGAGGCAGCCTCCCCTGCCGAGCCGGCATTCGTGGATGAGCTTGATGCACTCCTGAAAATGCTGCAGCCTGCAAGGAGAGCGGCAGGGAAGTGAAGGTGGGACG